GGCAGGCGTGGCGCTGAGCCCTGAAGCCGCCGCATCTCAGACTTCGGAAAGACCTTCCGTGCCAGGCGCTGCCCTTTCCTGCAGGTATGATTTCTGATTTAACGAGTCTTCAGTGGCGGTGCTGGGAAACCTCTCGCACTGAGTGCAGCTCGAGGGTTTGTGTTCTCTGCAGCTGAAGAGGGAGCCTGAGGGCACCCAAGCTCCACGAGAGCCGGGAGGACGAGGGGCATCCGGGGCGAGGGTGTGCGGGCCCGGGGCCTTCGTGGCTGCCTGAGCCCACAGTGCGGGGCGCCCAGTGTGACAGCAATTAGCGGCGCAGGGCCTGGGGGAGGACGGACAAGCTCGCTGGGCTGCTGTGGTGCTAACTGTGTGATTCTCTGTTGGGTCTCCCCGGGAAAGGGGTGGGCTTTCAGTCTTCCACATGACAATCGACAGCAGGGTCTGAGAGTGCTTCTTTGTTTACAGATATAAATAGATGTATTCCTATGCGGCTAATAGCTAATGCTTTTGATTATCCAAGTGGCACTGATTGGCATGGGTGGTGTTCTGGTACTTTTATTACAATGTAATAAGCACATACACCTGGACCTGAAAAATCTATCGCTATAAGAAATTTTAGTTTGAGGTGAGCTACCAGTATGGCAAGTTTCCCTTTATATAATTAGTACTTTAGAACGCTTGTAAATCTAGTGAACTCAAGTGTCTGTAATGCTATTCTACCACGAACAGCCCAAGTTATCTTTTAAAACACAGCTGTCATCATAAGATCATACATTTTTCATGCTTAAAAGCCTCCCTTTGCGTTGTCTCACAGTCAGCCAACTGTAAACGCTTCACCGCTTTCTGCAGAGCCTAGAGGCCCGACTGTACCTCCCGCTTCAATCCAATTTTTGAAACCCTTTCCCTGTCAGTAGAAATAAGTCACACTACTTTCTTTCTGCTTCTTAAACATATTCACCAGACTGCATCCGTGTGTGTGTGTGTGTGTGTGTGTGTGTGTGTGTGTGTGTGTTTCTCTGAATGGAAGAAGGGTTGATTCTGAGTTTTCTACATGTGTGTCTTCTTTAGAACCATGGGAGATTTCAGATCTGACACATGGTCCTCAAAGACGTGTTACCCCTTCATTATTCAGAAAAGTTAACACTAGCTACAGTGGCAGAAATCCCCAAATCCCATAACTTTAGTACTTGTGGTATTGTATTATGATCTTTTGGGTGTACTTTGCTTTAAATGCTTGGGAACAGATGTGTTTCTGACTTCAGACATTTTTTTGATTTTGCAATATATAGTAATACAAATTTCTAAACATGAAATTAATTTATATTTCACATGCACATAGCCTGAAGGTAATTGATTTAGGCATTTTGCCTTCACTTGGACACTTGCAACTTACAGGAACAGATGTTTATTTTAATTTGTGGTTTATAAAGGATTCAGCCCACATTAAGTTTGCTCAAAGAGAGCACGGGAATAGCAGAGGAGTCTGGGGAAGGAAAGCTGCTTAGGTTGTAGCAGCCAGGAATCAGAGTAGAGCAAGCAGCCTGTGAGGGCTCAGCTGACACCCCAGTGCTGCCTCTGTCCAGACCCCTCCGATCAGTTCTTGGGCTAATGTGACAGAGAAAATGCTTTGACCTCATGCAATCCTATTTTCTCTTATGTTTATGTTTATATTGTTTATTTTCTTTCAAACCTACTGTATTCTTTTTAAAGTTGAAATAGTTTGTTAGTCCTTATGTTAGAAGGGAGAACCCACAGAATGAGTGAAGATAATTACAAATCTAGGAGTGTTAAATATCCAGAATTTATAATGAAAATATAATTTATAATTTATAATATAATTTATAATTGAACAATTCAATGGCAAAATCTAAACAGTCCAATTTTAAAATTGCCTAAATATGGATACAATATGAATAGGCATTTTCAAGAGAAGACATAGAAGTGGTTAGTGGATATGGTAAAATGCTCATCCTCACTAGCACAACAGGGAAATGCACAAAAAAACCACAGTGAAGTGTCACTTCACCCCTATTAGAATGGCTGTTACCAAAGAGATAAAAACTGACAAATGCTGGCAAAGATACAGAGAAAGGGGAATTATTGTGTGCTGTTTACTCCAAATATAATTTAATACAGCCACTTGGGGAAACAGAATGTAAATTTCTTAAAATATTAAAATAAGAATACTTTATGACCCAGCAATTCTACTTCTTGGTACATAGACAAAAGGAATGAAACCAGTGTGCTGAAGAGATATCTGCACCCCATGCTACTGTAGCACAGCCAGATATTTCAGTCAACATAAACGTTTACCAGTGGGTAGATTGATAAAGTGCAATGGAATATTATTACACTGTATAAAATGATGCAATCTAGCCATCTGCACAAACATAGATGAGACTACATGAAGGTAAATAGCATAAGCTAAAAAACACCCAATGATCTCTTTGGTATGTGGGTTAGAAGAAATTTTATCTCATGGAAGTTGATTGTAAAATAGTGATTACTAGGAGGGCTCCCTGTTGTGAAGAACTTCATCAGTGGATTCAATGCAACAGGTAGTTTCGAGGCTTATACTGTGATTTCTACTGCACAGGAGGGTGACTATGGCTATAGATGTTGCATTGCACATTTGAAAATATCCAGAAGAGAGGACTTTGAATGTCCTCATTCCAAGACATAAGCAGTGTTTAAAGTTAGAGCTACCATGACACTAACAGGATTGTGAGCGATAAGCATGCATCAAACACACACACACACACACACACACACACACACACCTATTGTGACAATAGAAAATAAAAGTAACAGCCAAAAAGCAAAGCCTTCAGAGGTGGAGAGACTATTTTGATGGAAGGCCAAAGGGAAAGATAACATTTGATCTTAAGGGGTAAAGTGAAACACTGGTGTAGTGGCAGGAAATAAAAGCTCTTATAGCATAGGAGATTTTTATAAAAGAATCCTTATTCAGTGCTGATTCCATTATATTTCTTTCCTCTGTAGAAAATTAAATCCATTATTCATTCATGAACTTGTCTGTGGTCACATCTATCTGTGATTTCTTGCTTGTATCCAATGACGCTTTCAATGTGTAACTAGTTTGTGAACACATATTGAGTCAGGTAACGTACTGAGTGATAGCAACAACAACAGAAATCGGAAAACCTAAGCCCTTAAAATGGGTTGACTCTCCAATTCTAATAGTCACTGTGCTCCTCTGGGCCCAGAAAGGAGCTCACTCACGTCCCAGGCCAGGCAAGAGGTGCTGTAGTTGTTGTGGAATTCTACGATAAGCAGCTCTCTTCCCTACCTGCTTCCAGATGTGATGTGGATGTGAGAGGGGTCTTAGGTCACCATTGATTCCTTGGCTCTGAGCACAGTGCCTAGCTCACAGGACACTCAAGAAATGTGCTGAATGAATGGCCAAATTGCCAAAGGTAGCTATTCTTTTTTTTTTTAACTTTTCTTTTCTTTTTATTGTGTTTATTGGCACAATCTAGGTATACAATACAAGTACATTCATCGTTGGGATTCTGTACCTTTACATGATAGGTCTTGATTCTCATTTTTCCCCTTGTCCCTGCCCTCCCTTCACCCCCTCCTCCCCTCCCCATTTACACACACTTTATTTCCATTTTTTCAGTTTCTCATATTTTTTTTCCTCTCCCTTATTACCTTTTCCCCACCCTTCCCACTTTCCTTACACCTTTAGCCCTTTACTTCCTATTTCACATTATTAATTATATCATTAGGATCCTGTGTACTATTATAGTTTTTCACACCAAAGAAACTATTTGGTATTTCAGTTAAAGAAATCTCTGTATGAACATTAAAAATAGGGAATCTTAAAATAAAACTGAAAAGGAAAGTAAAAGAGAAAAGGCAATGATGTAGGATTTAAATAATCCTTAATTCTGGAGATGAAAATGGTCCCTGAACATATTTAAATTGCTTCTCGCTCTTATAGTCTTAC